TAAGTTCTTAAGCTTTAAAAGATACCTAACACGTCTTTAAACTTTCTAAGTGTCAAAAAAGTCTTGAAATTTTCAACTTTATATCTAGTAAACATATAATCAAATATAAAATTGAATTTGTGTCTATACATGTAAAGTTTCCAAAATGTATACATAAATTACGTATTACACGCAAAAATGACTTGTTAAATACAAAATTGACCTTTGCCATACAATAGAAAATGGAACGTTCAACTTTGGGAAGGTAAAAAGATGATGTCTTTTTTTTTCTCTTAGTTTTGAATTCGATCTTTTTAGATAGTAATATGTTATGCATGTCTTAATATTAAGATTTTCTCGACGTCTGGTAAACAAAAGAAAAGTAATTAATAAAATCGAAAATTAGAACCATTCTAAAAAACCACAGAACAAAATTGGCAAAGCTGATTTAAACCTATAGGAATGGAAGGTGTAATTAAATCAACTTTGTATGTAATAAATAATAATGAATGAAATTAGAGGAAATCAAACCTAAAAACTCAACTAGTTTATCTTTAATGTATTAAATTTGTTTCTTCAACAATTTGGCCAAACCATTGGTAATTAATTTACACATAGTTTTCGTTAACTTCCATGCAATTATTTAATGACATAAATCAAATACCCACTTGATTATTAAATTTATGTTACTTTGGATTCTAATTAGAAAAAATCTAATAAATAATTTACATGTGACTTTAGAAAAAGGATCTATTATCGAAAGTAATAGTTTTTTTTTCCTTGGAAAATAAAGGAAATCGAATTAGAGGAATTCAAACATGGTGATAAATTAAACCTAATTGTTCTGTCTTTTTCAGTTGAATTGTTTATAAGATGAATAAATTGGCTTTGTTGGCATTTTGGCAAATTGTTAATTTTATATATAAACTTTATTAGTCCTTTATTTATTTATTTATTTTTGTATAGTTTCTCGGTGGGTTCCCTTAGTGCTGTTTGAACTTAATCATTAAGAATATGTCCATGCTATGTAAAGTCATCTCCTTTATGCAAAATGCACTTCTTTTCCCCACTTGTATTATAAAAACCTAATTAAAAAAAAAGCAAATATAAATTAAATTTTATTACCATCAACCTTTCATAAGTTGGTTTAATTACCAATTTTATAGGCAAAAATTTGTTAAATCTAAATTTTTTTCCAAGACTGCGTTTGATGGTCATTGAAAAACATAAATTTGAAAACAAAAGAGTTAATAAAAAAAACATAAAAATATTGTTTTTAGAAATTTTATTATTTCGAATTTACAATTTTCTAAAACAAATGTTCAAACCACAGACCAAGAAACATAATTTAGATGGCATATAAACCTGTCCTAAATTTCTAATTACCAATATGAGTTTAGTTCAACGTTAATTTAACACATCTTTCTTACCAAGAGGTCTGAGTTTGAATCTCCATCAAAATTAATTTTACTATAGAAATTATTTTAGTATAGAAAATCACTAGTTAAAATTTGTATTTCCATTTTTTAGCAAGGCCACATGGACTGTAGTTCCAAAAAAATGGAAAATCTTAATTTACTTTAAAGAGTCAAATTTCAACTTCGTCTAGAAGCAAACCAACAATGACAACCCCAACTCCAACCTCGGAAAATTAATATAATATATATAATAATAATATATTTTAAAAAAATAATCCCTCGACTTTGCCAATTGTCAATGTTGACCAAACTGAAAGGCGAAGTTTCGATGGCCTGCACAACCACAGCTTGACTTGAATCTTGGGAATTAATAATGATGTAAAAAAAAATACCTAATTTTAAAAATATTTATTAAATTTTGGGAAATAACAAAAAATTAAAGAAGAAGAAAAAAAAGTGGAGTTGACTTTTGGACTCCACTTTTTTAATTTAACGTTTCTTTGTAGACAATTTTATTGGTTTTTCTTACCTGCTTTTGCTTTGTTGGGAACCACCCACTACCACCACATCCTCCACTATTTTCTTTTCCTTCCCCTTTTAAACAAAAAAAAAAAAAAAAAAATACACACACACACGTAAATATGACCTTGGCATATTTTTAACCTTAAAAGATATATTTGGTCCGTATATTTTATTAAAATAACAATTTAATTTTTATATTTTTTAATCTTATTTATTCCATTCTATGAAAAAACTCATCAAAATTTGATCGTGGGATGATTTAGTCTTTATAAAATATAAACATATTTAATCCCTTAATTTATCGATCTATATAGGTAAGAAACTTCGTTAAAATTTCACGATAGGATTGAATCATTACAAATTTTAAACTAAAAAAGACTAAATTGTTACCAAAGTACAAGAACTATAGATAATCAGTTCGATTTTTAACAAATTTTAGCCTATTTTTTAATCTCTTTTCATAGATTTGAACGTTTATTCAATTCCTACACTTAAAAAATTTTCTAACAAACTTTTAAATTTGCGATTTGATCATTGTAGCAGTGGGAGGATTTGAACTTCTTGTATGCTTAACCAGTTGAAAAACGAAATTATAATTCAACTTTTCTCTGAATATAATTATTTAAAGAAAAAAAGAAAAATTGATGCAACCAATAATCTCACACCTTTTGAGTTGACGAAACGCCCATTGACTTTCTTCTTTCCATCCTTTTATAAACCCTCCTCCCTTTCTCCCCTAACCTCTCTGTTTCTCTATTCTCCCGGCTCCGATTCCGATCTTCAAATCCATGGCGGTTGATCTCGCGGCTTTTCCGGCGAAGATGGACGATCAGATGGCGATTCAAGAAGCCACCACCGCCGGATTACAGAGCATGGAGCAACTGATCCGCGTCTTGAACACACAACCATCCCACAGCCCTCGCCTGGATCATCACCGTCGTCTCGATTGCTCCGAAATCACCGACTTCACCGTCTCCAAGTTCAAGCGAGTCATCTCTCTACTCAATCGAACCGGTCACGCTAGGTTTCGCCGTGGACCTGGATCCTCTGAATCTGATTCCGCCCTATGCAATCGTACTCCGATCCTCAATTCTCTCAATCCGCCGCTCAATTCCCCCAATCCACCCTCCAAAATCGACTTTCCTAAACCTAATTTCACTTCCGCCGCTAAATCCCCCGATTCTAGGGCTCCGATTGCGTTCTTGAACGAGACGACCGACACCGTCTCCTCCACGACGTCGTCTTTCATGTCCACGATTACCGGAGACGGCAGTGTATCCAACGGCAAACTCGATCTCTCACTCTTCACTACTCCGCCACCGCCGCCGCCGATCTCCACCGGTAAACCGCCTCTGTCGTCGAAGAGAAAGTGCGACGATAGCTCTAGATTCGCCTGCAAAATCCCCTCCAATTCCAAGCCCTGCCACTGCGCCAAGCGGAGGTACCGATTAATCAATTCCCGATTCCCTTAAACACGAGAGTTTCAAATTCGTTTCGAATTCGAATTCGGTTTCTTAATTTCTTCAATTTTTTGTGTTTTTCAGAAAGTCCGGAGTCAAGAAGACCGTCCGAGTTCCGGCGATCAGCTCAAAAATCGCCGATATACCTTCCGATGAATACTCGTGGAGAAAGTACGGCCAAAAGCCGATCAAAGGCTCCCCGTATCCAAGGTAAATCAAATTCCTTTCAACAAAATTCTCAAACGAGTTGTAAATTTGCAGTTTGAGAATTTAAAATATTGATTAATTTGTTTTTAATTTTAATTTTGCAGAGGGTATTATAGATGCAGCACCGTCAAAGGCTGTCCAGCGAGGAAACACGTGGAGCGATCACGTGATGATCCGGCGATGCTCCTCGTAACTTATGACGGGGATCACCGTCACCCGCAGGCTACGGTGCCCGGGGCGGTGTCCCAGAAGAGTTAAGCGGAGGGATTTGTCGGGGAACCAACGCCACCTGATTGGGCCGTGACGCAGTACCTTGAACATAACATGCCTGTCACTGTAGACTTCTCCTGGTTGTAAAAGTCAAAACTAGCCTGGGAGTTTACGACGCCAGGCCAGAGTTGTAAGTCAAAACAAAACAACGTCGCGTTCGAATCTCTCGAAACGGAACGATAAGGCGGAAGGGTATCAATGTAATTTTGATAAGAGTTTCTTTTTCTTTTTTTAATTTTTTCTGTATTATATTTTATTGAAAACTAATTTGACCGGCAACATGGTCCCAATGATTGCGCCTTACATAATTTTTTTTATTTAATAAAGAGTTATATATGGTTGGAAATTCCATGAATGCCTTTATTTTTGTTTTATTATTATTTTTTTAGTTCTTGTTTCCACTAATGAATTGACTTTCTTCCCATTCATTATGGCAAAAATCTCCGGCACTTCCTTAGCAAGAAAAGAGGGGAAAAAATGGCTGTTGTTAATTATTTCATTTAATTATATGTTGTGAAATAAGACAAAATAAAATAGCTAAAATATATGTTTCCATAAGTTTATCATTAGTAATTTGTTGATGATAAATGATCTAATATTTAATGAATTTGTATAAATTTAGAGGTTAAAAGGGTTATCAAGAGAAGACTTTTTTTTTCATAAATTTGAAAGAGAATTAAATGACTTTTTCCCTTCTTTGAATTTCTATGAACTCATTAAGTATTATATCAATTTAAAATTTTAAAATGATGTATACTAAATGGAAAAAAATTTAAAATATTCGAGACTGAAACAAATATAAGGAAAAAATTGTGTTTTAGATCAAGCATTATTCCTCAATTAGCTGCCTTATATCATGTCATTTAATTTAAATTTGGTTTTATTTATAAATGTAATTTTTCAGATTTGATAGCTGAATTTACTTAATTCCTCAATTTGTATTAAGCTTATAATTTAATTCAAATTATTTATTCAATAAAGGATTAAATTAAATAATATATTGTTTTTTTAATATATATATATAAACGATTCTTTTCTGCAGAACATAGATATAATGTTCAGTCTACCAAACTTATGAGTTAATCGGTTGTTGTTTAAAATATTAGAGAAAAATTTACAGTAGATTTGAATAATTAATAGGCAATTAGTTTGATAATATCTAAAATTCAGGAAATTGTATTGGGAAAATTTAATAAATTGAATTGAATTGATTTTGTTGTTTGTTTGTCGGCTATTGCGGGAGATTCTTGGTCTTCATTCCACTCTACATGCCTCCAAAACCGTGTGGAAATATTCATTCAACGTTTCCCAAAATTTTCATATTTAGATTTTATAAATTTAAACAAACAATATTATATCAYATCATTATCACGCAATAGTATTTTTTTTTTCAAGTTTAAATCTAGTTTTATCAGTGTTCATACTTTCAAATTTTGAGATTTAGCTTAGAGATAATACTTAAAAAAAAAAAAAGTCAAAACGAAAATTTTTATAGCATTAAATAGACGTGTTTTAAAAGTAGCCAAAGCGAACACAACCATCTCTAACCTACAATAAAAAAAAAAATTCTGAACTTAATTTAACTAGTTAAACACATATATCTCAACTAAAAGTTAAAATAAGTATTTATAGTGTTATATTAAAAAAAAACACATTAGTTCTAAACCAATAAATATATGGTGTAATATTAAAAAAAAAAAACTCTTAGAAATTTTTGTTAAATATAATGCAATAAGTTATTGGCAAAGATTAAAATAAGTATTTATGAAAGTTTGGTCTTATTACAGAAATAGGAGTGCCAACATATATTGACCTATGCTTTTTTTCTTTGAGATAGGAATTCAAACTTTCCTCCCGTTTATTGTATTTAAAAATACAACAAAATAGGAGTGGTTCAGAGAAGAATTTAAAATTGAATATCTATGGAAAAACTATAATATGCGATAATTCATCTTTCCTTGTAAAGAAAAGCGATAATTCATATCCACATATGTAATGTTATAATATATACATATCTAATTTAAAATAGTCAAAGCGAACATAACTCAGCACTAATTGACATATACCTCCAATCAAAAGGTTGTGAGTTCGATCCCCCACTCTTATTGTACTAAAATAAAATAAAAAATTCTCTTGCAAAGGAAAAAAAAATTGAATTAGTGTATTTGTTTTGTAAATTTGTGTATTTTTTTTTTTTTGTTCATCGCTACTTACAGGTCTCAATTAGAGGGGTCTTGTTGGGCTTAAGGAGTTATTGGGCCTTCTAGATCGGGCCACGTTGATTTGGGTTTGGGCTTTAAAAGTGGTACTTGATATTTGGGCTAGTTTCATGGTGGTAGCACTTTATATATTATTTTCTAAGAAAAAATAATAAAAAAGGTTTATAAAATATTAAGTGTAGCTATTTTCATATATTAAAAGACAAAATAACCATGATCTAAGATTATGGAAACAAATGATCTAATAAAATTTGGTATATCGTGTATATAAACAATATATACAGATGCGTACAGTATTACAAATATGTTTAAATGAAATAAAAGTTGCACACATTAAATTGAAAAAAATAAAATTACTCGATTACCAAACTTCAAGCTTAATTTTTTTTTTGAACTGTTAATATTGTATCTTATATCTTTTAATTTAGGTTCAAATGTTCATGGGATTGGTAATCCCATATATACTTGTGATTAATATGAAACACATAATAAATTAGACTATCTAAATGAAGAATTGCGTTTTTATCAAAAAAAAAAAATAATAATAAAATAATAATAAAATAATAAATTTTTCAAAATTGTTTAGAATTTACTTTCTATTTTCCAAAATTGATGCAGTGTGACTTCACCGTGCTCCTTATAATTGGGATTCATTATCTAGACTGAGCAACACAGTGAATAACATTGGATTCAACCTCATGGTAGGTGATACCATAAAACCCAAAGTTATTGCCACTGCACCATCGGACAAAATCAAAATTATTGTTCCTTCCCCATATTCTCCAAATTTTCAAAGAACACAATGTAAATGTTATTTTATATAAAATGCACCATAAATAATTTGAATGTTCAATTTTAAAAATTAATTTTTATATAAATTTTTGTTTTTTTAATTGAAAATTTTAGAAAACAAAAATAAGAAATGATATACTACCGAACATGTCTATGTTTCTTCTTTATCAATAGAAAAGAAGGGACAAGAAATAAGAAACCGTTATAAAAGTGGTTTTATTTTTTATTTTTATTAAAAAATATGAAACAAAAAGCAAAAAAAAAAAAAAACAGGAAGAGAAAAGAAAGAAAATTACTTAATTTAATGATTCAATTAAATGAGCCCATAATTATGATTACAATAATAAAAAAGAAGAGAACTCATTAATTAATTGAATCCATATCATTATTAATTTCCTTTTCTAGAGATTCTACAATAACAATATTATTTCTTAATTAACCAAACACACCATAATGGAATTTTTTCTATAAGGTCTAAAACAAGAGATTTAATATATCTTTGATAAATTAGTGATCAAAACTCTTTTTGAATGACCCAACACCCGACAAAAGTTTATGGCACTTGATTAGTTCCATTAATTGAAATAGCCTTTGAATAATAAATCATTAACAATATATTACCCGCCAAATTTTGAAATTCAAAAAACACCCACAATAATTAGCAACTCATAATGATTTTTCTTTTTTTTTTCTTTTTTTAGTGAGTCTTTATCTATATCTTTTGTTGACTGTTCAACTTTTTTTTTTTTTGGTTCAAACAAGTGCATGGCCTTTTTTGGCAAAACACAGTAGTTTTACAGTAAAAAGATGTCAACTTTCAATTAGAGTTTGTGATAATTTTTTTAAGAAATTGGGTGAAATATATATATCTGAAAAACCAATTTTAATTTTGCCATTAAAAATGACAAAAACAGAAAAATTAATAAGGAATAAGACTTGTGAGAAAGCTAGGGTTGCAGGTGGGAAACCCATGTGACTCCTTTGGCAAAATAACAACAAACACCAAATAAAATTTTAATAAATCATTTAAATTCCAGAGTGATAAAAAAAAATCTTTAAAAAAATGTTAAATTACAAGTTTAGTCACTCCTTAAAATTGTATTTGATACGTCTACAAACATTCAATGTCGCGTAACAGATTTCTTGACTAAGTCAATTTTAAATAGAATTCACAAATCTAGACACAAAAAATTAGAAGTCGAGTTTATAAATTTTTTAAAAAATATCAGAAAATTAGTTAAAGAATTTGTAATTTATTAGACACAGGAACTAAATTGTAATTTGGTTGGGTCTTGATTTTGAAATGGACAAGTTTCATAGGATTCTTTAAGGGTCTCCCTCAAACTCTCCCTTCATTATCTTTCAATTTCACAAATATTGTGTATAAAAAATTGTATTGTATTTAATTTGTGAGCATATATATATATATATAATATATGGTTTTGTTTTTGTTTTTCTCTCTCTTTCTCTCTCTGTTGGCCCACTAGGGTTTTTCTCTCTCATATATTTTAGTTTCTTTTCTCTTTCAACCACATAGGATTCTCATCTTTGAGAAAGACTTCAAGAGAAACATTATCATATGTTACTAAATTTGCTGACATATTATAACTTCTGCCCTTGAAATTTTGCTGTGTGACAAAGATATCATCAGCTGGAGAAAAAGTTCAACCCTTTTTATTTACTTAAGAGTTCAATTTGACTTGTACCAAAGCTTTAACTTTTTAACCTAACTAGCCAACCCGATTGTTGGACGGTAAAAATGAACTTTGTTACATAGAGAACAAGGAAAGATCGGTATGTTAAGATCTTTCTCTCGAAGCGTTGGAGATCGACCAAGAGGAGACATATGTTAAGCCTAGTCAAACCCCACCATTGCCCACTTTTCAACTTAGGTGCCCAACATGCTCAAGTTTTGGTTCGCTTTGCTTCTTTATTTGCTCTTTTTTCTCCTCTTCTTCAACTCAAGTTCTACAAAAGAAAGAAATACTAAAAACAAATAAATTACCCAAAGAAATTATCCATATAATGATCAAATAACTCAAAAGCACCCTAAATTATTAGACCAAAATTCATTTATCACCCATTCTCCAACCTTAGAGACTTGAAAGACCGACCTTGTGCAACTAATATAAATTTCCCGACAGCATAATTGAACGTAAGGGTCGAATGTCGTTATCACCTAACTCCCTATAAATATATATAGAATTCTACGTACCTCGACTTGAGACCTTTAAATCGACCTCTTAGAGTTGAGGGTCGGAGTGTTTGCTTCTCTTTACAGGTCTTCTCCCACCAAATTCGCTCCTAAGCTCGGCTATACCCGATCTTCTCATTTCACAA